TCAAAGCACAGTATACAGTATTGTCAGCAGTAAGAGCTTAATGGAAAGTCATGCTGTACAATGAATTTGCAGCTTTTAACTGGGTGCTCTTCTAAAGCAAGTTTCTAGGCCATGCTTGGAGGAATCTGGCCACTTATCCTGCATGGTGTTTTAGTCCTACTTGAACTGGACAGCATCACCAGCCACATGAGTGGGAGGAGGAAAAGTAAATAGAAGCTGCTTCCAATTCACAGCATCTCAGCAGCTACCTTTCCAGTACCCAAGAGGGTAGATGGAGCAAGGACTTCCGTCGTTTTGAGCAGGAACAAGTTACTATGTAATCTAAGCCTTAGCAAAACTCCCAGCCAGAAATGCTTCCATTTTTTGAAGTCATATCTAAGAGGCCTCAGTTTTTTTCAACTTCTGTCTCTATTCTCTTACTCTTAGATTTAGTTTCTGCTGGTTATTAGGCTAAAGACAGTTCCAAGTTCTTAATCACATTCTGTCTAGTGTGATTGGAGGGCTCGCTCTTAACATATTTTTCAGACGTCTTGAGAGTCAGTCAGTGGTATGAATAAATTGGGCTGAGTACTGCTGCAGGAGGTGTGGAGGCCCAAGGACTCTTGTGGGCTCCACGGACAGGCTGCTTTCCTTCCCCTTTCTTTGTATTTTAGCAATAGTAGCATTATCTGCTGATTCATGTCACCTTCAGTCCTCTGGTTTCACTAACAGGAATATTGTAGTTGGGACCCATGTTTATGTCTAGGCTGTACTTAGACTGTCAGTCATGTTGTGTTCTATGTGGTTCATGGGCAGTAACTCAGCATGGGACAATATAGACTTTGGTGTGTGTATCTCACCTCTAGACTCTGCCATGCTTGGTTTTTCTACCTTGGCCAATGGGTAGGAAGAAGGAAAAGAGAAAGGGAAATGTGCTAGCTATGCCCTCTCACTAAATCCTATATCTAGTCTTCATTTTGCAAATGAAGGCATTGAAGCACAGAGAAGTTGGCTTAATTGTGCAAGGAGACACAGCTGTGAGGCACAGGTCCCAGGCACCCTGGCTGTGTGCACTGCCCTTCCCCCACTGCCATGCCTCCCATCAGGTAGTCAGAAGATAGGTGCAGAGAACCACCTCTCCTCCATAGAAAAAGAAACTATTCTCAGGAAATGCTGGAGCCTCTGTGGCCTTCTTTCAAAGGTAAGAATAAATGTGCTGAACTCTCCTTGAAGACACTAATAAGGGGGCTGCTGAACATCACTGTGGCTATTACTGTTTTCTGGCTGACACTTGGCCAGGTCTTTCTTTCTTCACTTTCAGGCTAATAATTAGATTTAAATCCCTGACAAGACTCTAAACATCACCACAGGGAGTTCTATATTTCTTTACTGTTGCTCACAAAGATTTCATTTTAAAAAGGTCCTTTTAAAAACATAAGTAAGTTATACTCAGAAAGAGCTTTTGAAAAAAATCTATTATCTTATTGAGTCTTTTGAAGAACACATGCTGCTCTCTCCCTTCTCGCCCAGAGAGGCCATCCCTTCTTTTTAATCTCCAGCTGGAAGAATTAAAAGCACCCAGGAAGACCAGAGTAGGTAGGTCTAGACAGCATCCAGGGCCCCAGAATGTATGAATTCAGGAATCCTGTTTTCATTTCATTACAAATAAATTGGTAGAATTTTTCTCTGCATAGTGAAAATTGTGATGGTTTTGTTTCTCAGTGGAACATGATAAAGAACTATTTATATGAGTAAATTAATCTCTTGACCTCCGTGTGTCTGGGTTGCATGGGTCATTGCAGTTGGAGACTTTGCATAGAGGTGTCTGCCTGGCACTGCTGTGCCCTCTCCATACCCGTCTACCTGTCTCCAGTATAGCTGTGATCATGGAAAGTCACTTTCCTCTGTGTAAAGCTGCCTGACCCCAAAGGAACCCTTCAGTCCTTTGAGGAACAAGATGGAGTCACATAAATAAATGTACTAAGGCTTAGGTGGGGCCTGTGTGGTAACATGGTCCTCATTAGCTCATTAAAGTTGATGAGTGGCCTCCCTGGAGGCCTGGTGGCTCAGGAAGAATCTGTTCTATGGCCCTCTTATTGCTTCCTGGCTGCTCTGGAGAATCCCAGTTGCTTTAAGGAGGGTCAAAGAACTTGGTGATCTCTCTACTAAGCCTAGTTCAGTCACGCAATATATTAAAAAGATTCTACCCAGAAGTCCAAGGATGGGATTTGGGTACTAGTCTAGCCCAGCCAAATCTCTTAGTCTGAGGAGTAAGGTGACAACTATGGGGAAAGAGAAGGTTTTGGTATTGCTTAGTAGCTCTTAGCATGGTTGTTTTCTTATCCTACATTTAGAAGCCTAACAGCTTAAGGGTTGTCACTTTAACGTGACAATCCAAGACATTCTGAAATAAATCTATAGTTATTAGTTGGGTGTGGATGCATCTGTCTGTAATCCTAGCACTTGAGTGGCTGAAGCATGATGATCATTAGGTTTGAGGTTACATAGCAAGTTTGAATAGCAAGATTCTACCCCCCAAAACCCCAATAATTGTGTGTGTGAGGAAGATGAGTCTTTGATTAAATAAGGTTATTTTAAGTTGACGCTCTCAGAAAGTCTAGTGTCAGGCTGTGGTGTTGCAGTATCTGACCACAGAGGACAAGGGCAAGGTTCACAAATCTGCATGCTTTCACCAAGACAGACACACATTCATTGCAGTTTTCCAACTTGCAAACTATTTTTCCCATAGCCAGGCACTTGGGAGGCAGAGGGAGACAGAACTCTGTAAGAGTAAGGCCAGCCTGGTCTATATTAGCAAGTTCCAGGCCAACTGGTGTTGGAGGCTACAAGGAGACCTTATCTTAAAAAAAAAAATCTCCAAATTGGAGAGAAATTTTTCATCATTCAAATTGGGTAAAGATATCTGGTTTCCCATAATTGGCTACTGTAGAGCCAAAAAGCTGCTGCCTTCTATTGCAAAGACTATGTAAATAACTGCTGAATAACTAGAGTTCTTATCACTTCGGTGTGGTCTACAGCACTGTCTTCAACATGAAATCATCAATCAGTCCAATCAGCTATAACATAGGATTAAGCACTGCATTTTCTTCTGGTGCAGTAGATAACTACTGAGAACTGAGCTCACAAAAAATAGCCTGGTGTGTGAGTTGTGGCAAGGTAAGCACTGCCACCTCAGCTATTACCATAATCCACTGTTTTCTCAAACTGTCAGACCTGAGGCCTTGAGGTGGAATGGTACCACAGAGAGGTGAAACCCAGTTACACCTGAAGCCTACACCTTGATGGTACTTCTAATCAGGTTGAGTACAGTTCTGTGCTACAATGAGCATCTTTTAGTGCAGAAGGTAGGCCATTAAATGCTTTCTGAACTCCATTAGTTACCTCTGCTGAGAATGAAAAAGTCGTAAGTGCATAAAAATTAAATTGCCTATGAGGTCAGGTATGAGCAGGTACTCGGATGCCAAATATTATTTTCCATTCAAATGGTCTACAATCACACATGTACTGCAGACTTGGAATACAAACCTGAAGGGACACACACTGACTGGGAATCTGTGCCCCAAATCTAATGACCTCTACTGACTGCTAACTACCCAATTTTGCTTCAGGAGAATTTACCGTCAGACCTCCGCCCTCTGTTGGATTACTGGGCTACAGATAGAGCTGCAACCTCTAGGCTGGCCCAGTCAGAGCAAGACATACTTGGCCTTAGGGACTCAGAGACATACAAACCACAAAAAGTGGTTAAAATGACCAGTTGACAGGATCTATGACCACCTAGGACAAGCCTTTGGGCACATCAGTGAGGGATTATTTAGAGTAGGTGGAGGTGGGAAGACCCACCCTAACTGCTTGAGAACTAGAAAGGAGAGAGCTGAGCAACAGCATTCATCCTTGGATGCAATGTGACCAGATGCTACAGCACCTGACCCCATAACTTCTCCATCATGAGGGGCTGTAACCTTCAAATTGTGAGCCAAATTTTTTTTTTCTTTTCAGCTCTCTATCTTAGGTAGCCAGCCCGTTAGCATCACGTAGAACTAGGGAGACAGGCTCTTCCACAGAGAGAAAAACTGAAGGCTGGCAGGACTTCAAGTCCCTGATGTGGCTTGCAGGCCCAGAATCCAGTTTTAATAGCTGAATTTTCAGGTTATATTGTCCAACGGATTCCTCCCCTTTTCCATAGATTTGGGGTTTAATTTGCATTCAAAATAGCCTAACTGATGGAGAACCACACGTTTCCATCTTGCCCAGGGCTAACCTAACCCTACAGACAACGGCAACACTGAGGCTCAGGTTGGGTGGTTTGCCCAGGTCTTCTGCTAGGGAGCCATATTGCTAGAACACGCAGGACTCCTGGTTTCTCTCCATGTTTTTACTGTATTGTAGGAAAAATTAAAAGTTAATTATGACACACACTGTACCTGTTTAAAACTATGAACTAAAATTTTTCTCCAGTTTAAGATTCATATATTGAATATACTTAAAATATTAAGTAAAAGTTCTTTCTAAAATATCCTTTACATTATTACATAGAATTTGGAAAACTTGAAAAATAAATTAAAAGTCTAAATTTCTCAGAAACGTTCTTGTGATCTGCTGTCGAAGCAAAAGAAATAGCCCAAAAAATAGCTTAAAATGTTTTATTAAGTATACATAATATTACAGGGTAATATGTACACAGTTATGTTTTTTAAATAAAAAAGTATCTTGGCAAAGATTGCAGGTATTCAAAGCTTCAAACAGTGATAAATTGATTTAATACATAAAAAAAAAAAACCTTAAAGGGTAACACAGCTGTAAAACAACTTTGGTCTTTAAATCACTGCAAAAAAAATGGCTACTGACAAATAGCACACCTTTAATTGCTATGCAAAAAGGCCCCCAAGAGAGTACCTTGCACATAGCAGCACTGGAGATCTCTTATTATTCAGTATGGTTAATGGATATTTATATGATGTGGGAACTAATTCTCAACAATGGCTTTTTGTAAATAATGCTCTGTTTAATAAAAATAAAAAATGCTTTCCTCTCTCACCAATTGTAACAATGCTTTTAAGATTCTACTGATGTCATCTTATAGAGAAGCTTATTAAAAATGCTCCCCCAACACTGGGTTTATGGAAAATGCATTTTCACACGGTCATAATTAAGGGCTAACAAAGTTAAAGGCAGGACAATTTCCAGTTACTGCTCATCTCTTTAAGTTAACTTGGATGATCCCTGTCAGCCACTGAAGATGACTTAAGAAGACCTCCAGTGGGTGTGGTAGTTAAAAGATTGTGAGTACAGGACACACATGAAAACTCAGGTTTCTAATATACCCTCAATTAAATTCACTAAAATGATAAAGGGCTGTCAGACAATTCTTCTTCTCCAGTTCCCCAACAAAAGGCAAACATAGCGGTTTGTATTTGCATATATAACCTGACTGCCATTTTGGAACACCCATTGTAAGACAAGAGAAACTTACGTGTTACACAGCTTAATTCTTATTAATGAAATGGAGGAATAAATACCACTTTTTGAGCTTTATCATCTCAAATCACAGTTTGGTCACTATATTGAATAAAGCTCATTATGGTATAGCCCCATGATTTTTTAATCTGACATTCTCAGTGTTTAAAAAGACCAGACTTGGAATTATCAGGTGAAAATCAGTACTTTTATAGTTTTCAGAGCATGTAAAATTCATCAAAAAAGAAAACTCTCTACCTCACCCTATTAAAAAGAGTGAGAAATCTAAATGAAGCCAACTCTGTCATCAAACGTATGTACTGAGTGGCTAATATATGCAAAACACTGCAGGAAGAAAAGGAAGAAAGAAAAGCTCTTGCTGTGGAAAGAATTTTAAAATCGAGTGAGAACAAGACAAAAACCCAACAGAGCTAAGCAGAGATACATGAAGTACCAGGGAGGGTAAGTGAGAGATGAAAGAGGCCGCTAGACAGATGGGGACAGGCTATGAAGCACACCCAGGCGGGGAGAAGGGCTGAGTGGAATGCTTTGAAAGAGAAAAATGGGGTTTGGCCATAGGCTGGAAAAGTTGTTGCAGAAAATGACAAATGGTGTCACTCTGTACTACCATACAAATGGAGAATGGACACTAAATAAAACAGAATAGAGGACTGGACAGCAGAAAGGAGGGTCAGGGGGAAGAAAGCATATTGGGGGGCAAAATGGATACATGATATCCATATACTGTTAGCAATTTATAATTTGATAGGACAGGAACTGGGAGCCATTGTGGGTCTGATTTAAGGAGTGCGAACTGGCCCAATGATGCCCAGGCAAGAGGACTCTTGCTGTGGTCCCTTAGCCACAGAACCTGATAACTAAGAGCAAGAGTCGAGTTCACCTCGTGTTTCCCAGGTTACCACCAGTGGCATTGTCTAGGGTAGTCAATGCCTTACAAGGCAGGCAGTACAGATGATAAGACCCAAGACTGAACCCCGAACAGAGGAGAATTTACTGCACATTAAAAGGTACAACTTTAGCTAGTAAAATATTTGACTATAAAGATTTTCATACCTGACTTTCTTAGAGAAAAGAATCTGGATCCTCTCCAAGTCTATCTGCTTTTTTCTTCCTTTCATCAAAAATGATTTCCAAAGCAACAAACAGTATGAGCAAAGTGTAAATATTTTCAGAAGGAAAAAAAAAAAGAGCAGCAGGAGCCATCAGATTTGTATGAAGGCAAACAGCTCCCTCTCCATATGCTAATACTCTGGACAGTTACAAAATCAGGGAGGATACATATTTTTCTTCAAGAAGAGCTATCTTGATAGTGTGTTCAGTTCTCTGAGAGGCCTCAGCACACAGGTCATAGGTTGGGTTTTTCATAGACAAACCACTTGGTCCCCACATGAAAGATGACAATAATTTTGGCATACAAGAGGCACATGGAAACACTCAATGAACTAAGGAATAACCATTAGTAATGTAACCACAAATGCCTTATTCCACAAACAGGAAGAGTTGCTAGTATTTTTAGAGGGTACTGGTGAGCAGTCAAAAGAGCTTGACAAATTAACTAGTTTTTAAAATTTCAAGTGACCAAATATTTGCATCAAATAGAATACCACCCAATAATGAAACCTTTGTTTTTAAATGTATTTACCAAAAGCACAAAGTTAGCATTTGCTCTCCTGTAGGCACCTCAGTTTTGTCCATACAGAAGATGCACGTGCTTACCTTATACATGTGCACATACAAACACACACCCACAAACGAGGTAAAAAACGAGTGCTAATAATCTAAAAGTACTCCATGCGATCACAACTGTCAGAATGTTGGTTTTTTTCTAACTGGGGTAGGAAATGTGGTGGTTTTACTTTACTTTTCAAACTTTGGGGAGGAGGAGGAGGAGGAGGAGGAGATGGAAGAGGAAGTAGAGGAGGAAGAGGAGGTGGAGGAGGTAGGAGGCAGGATACAGGAGGAAGGTGATGAGTGTTCATCATGCAACAAAGAGACAACAGGAGTCAAACCCCCTCCCCAGGCCTTGCTAGGGCCTCACGGAGACGCGTGTTGCCATGCAGGAGACGCATAGTTCAGATTTCAGTCTTGCTTTTTTCATGCCTCCGATCAGAAAACATGGGAAGAAACACTGTAGATTTTTGCCTTCAAATCAGAGGAAGGGAATACATATGTTACAACCACAGCTATTTTTGTTGAAAAGTGTGAACACAGTACTCTGAGAACAAGTCTGGCTCCTTTCTGCAACTGACACTACTATGTCACTGGATCATGATCAAATGATCAAAGAGGAGAAAAGGTACTCCATCTTGTACCACGGAGGCAAGTAACAGGACGACAAGACAGGGTCCAAAGGATTGTATGCAAAAAGAAGCCACATCCATTAAAAAAACAGTATCCAAAATCTGGGCACACGTCTGTCAAAGGGGGGAAATGCATGAATGGCGACCCCCAAGAATGAAGACCATTATCTCCATCAGTATCATAGGGGGCATCCAAGATATGCCCAATTCAATTCTTGTCTCTACTTGGGTCTCTATTCCCACAACACAGAAGTGGCAGTCACATTATTCAGCTAGCAGTGTAAATGCCAAAGCTGCTGGGAACCTGAGTTTACTAAGTCTTGCTGGATACCAGTGTTTTTCATTAGGTATCTCCGGTTAGCCACCAGGTTAGTGCTAGGCAATTCTCATCCAGAATCAACTTAAACCCAGAGTCCAGAGTCCCAAGGTTCTTACAGGCATCATTCTTGGAAGTTGCCCCCTCCACTTTTGCCCCTAATTGAGTAAAAACAATAGAAAAATGGATCTCAATTTGTTACACAACACAGATCATATTTAACTAAATTACAGCTGCTTTGAATATAAACTTAACTGTAATAATCATTTACTGGTCAATGACATGTTCTCTCATAGATGAAAGTCGGTTACAATTCTTCTGTTTTCTTCTTCCCAACAGTGAGTCATCAAGGCCATGGTGCTTAAACACAAGGGTATTTCTTCAAGTCTATGACTCTTGAAGTCACAGTTCATCACTTCACTTCAGTTATTCTGGAAAATGCAAAAATCAACATAACATTATGTCTATTTCCTATGCATTAAGACAGGATAAATATTTTTAAAATTAAAAAAAAATTTTAATTTTTTATTTTTTAGAAGAAGCATTTCATTACAGCTTTAACATACTCAACAACAATTTCCAGAGAAAAGATATATCTCTTTCAAAAGTGACTATAAAATTTTTAGGTTCACAGTTGAATTAATATAGCTATACAATATTGAACTCAGTATAAACCTATAAGACATAAAATTGAATGAGGATATAACCTTTAAAAAAGATCTCCATTTCATTATTAAAATACAGTTTCATACAGAAAACTTCATTTTTAATGCAATTGACATTAAGATATTTGCACATGCATTTCTAATCTCTAAATATCTGATTATTACTAGTCACAGTTGGTTACTTTCTGAG